ACCATGCCCAAGAAGATGGGCAAACCGAGCAGCAAAGAGGCTGAACCAAATCTAGCAAAAGGGAGCAAAAATAGAGAAATATTCCAGGTATAAATTTGATTTCGTATAAATTTGATTTCGAAAAGAAAGAGCTCAAACCAAGCCTACCAAGTGGGCTAAAAATTAATATAAAACTTTCAATTAAATTCAGTCTAAAAGAAGGCTAAAATCGAGCCCAACAAAAGGGGCAAAACCAAGCAGCATAAAGGCTAACTCAAGCTCAATAAAGAGGCAAAACAAATGAAAGTATTTCCAGCCAACATTTAATCCAAAAGGAACTAGACTCAAACCTACCATATGGACCAAAACAGATCCTCCTTGCAACATCAAAACCCAGAATTTGCATTCAATATGTATGCTTCGAACAGGGACAAGCAACAGAAAGCAGAATAGCATAAGTAGGATCTTAAACCATTATCCAAAGCTATCCAAAGCATCCAAAGCATCGCAACAAATTCCCACATATAGATATAGAAATGACAGGATTACAAAAAAAAATTTGCATGTACGAATGATCCTAAACATGCTTTCCATGTATCTTAAGCAGAAAAGAAAAGAAAAAAAAAGAAAAGCCAATATCATGCTCCATTCCCATATTTCCATAGATTATCCATGCTTAAACTTCAAAACATACCCAAATCTTGCTTTCTCGTAAGATAGGAAGTATTTTCATGCCATCCGAAACATTGCAAATCAGAGGAAGGAAGATAAATACCTCTTAATGCCGACTCAAAGCAAAAAAACTAAGGCAGATCCAACAAAATGCCTTCCGAAGAAATCCTCTTCCTAAAAACTTCGGGAAACAACCACCAACGAATGCTCCATACTCCAACACTTGAAAGTTCTAGCTTAAAGAGGATTTCGGCAAAACTTCCTTTCCTAACAAAATAGAAAATGACACCCCACGAATGCTTTTGAACAACAAAACAAAGAGAGCTATTTTCCCCTACAACAGAAAATTCAAGCTTTTCTCTCCCAAACACTCTCCTTTTTTTCTTTCAGAAAAACTTCTAACAACCCTTCACACACACCAGACCTATTTCTCAGGAAGCCAAAAGACAAAGAAAAGAAAAATAGAATGTCTGAGATGTCTCAGGAAGCCAAAAGAAGCCAAAAGACAAAGAAAAGAAAAATAGAATGTCTGAGATGAGGAAAGGAAGAGCCGTAATTAAAGGAGGAGAGTGCGTAGCCTCGAGTAGGAGGAGCGTCGAACTGCTGCCTCCTCCAATTGGAGAGCCGAACGGCTGCCGGGACTTAGCGAAGGGGAAGAGACGGAAGGGGAAAGTGTCGCTGCGTGGATCCGTCGTGGAGCTAGGGCACGGAGGCGAGAGGGAGAGCCGACGAGCGCAAGATCAAGCGAATGGAGGGTTTAATCGAGGTTTAAGGGAGGGTAGAAGTGTAAATAGGATTTAGGTTATAAATTTTATTATAATTTAAGGATATATTTATAAAAGGAAATATTTAATATTTTGAAAAATAAAAATTAATTTGTGTTTTATTCATGCATTGAAACATAACAAAATTGGTATCAATTTTAAGTAATTCGGTATCAATTGTAAGTAATTCTGACGTTCCGGACACGCTGGCGAGGTCTGTTTCGTCACCGGAGGTCATTTTGATGAATTCATCGATTTGCGTGTCAATTTTCTCGTGTAAAAAATATAACAATATGGGTGTAATTTTCTACCAAAATTGGTGTCCCGGACGCGTTGACACAACCCAATTTGTCGTCGGAGGTCATCCAGAGAAGTAATTTCCTACCAAAATTGGTGTCCCGGACGCGTTGACACAACCCAATTTGTCGTCGGAGGTCATCCAGAGAAGTTCGCATTTTCACCCATTCTTTAGGTTCAGTTGAAGACGGACCTCGTGCAATTTTGTGAATTTTGTGCATTTGGTGTGTGTATGTGACGAAAAAGTCGTGAAGACGTTTTTCTAAGGCTTGGAGTCCTATTAGGAACTTTTCCCTTAAGTATTCACAAAATAGCCCATAACCGCTCGTTCATAAGACGATAATCTTGTGCTATAAATGTTAGACATCAAAGAAAAATAGAAAGTCGAAAAATATAAAGTGGTTAGAATTTCTAAAAAGGTTGGGTCCCAATTCTAGTTTTCTAAGACGATCAATAGGAACTCCTAGAGCTAGATCCTAAGACCCTAAGGAAAAAGAAATGACCTCGAAAATACCTGCCCCAATGGAAGTTATATCTGGTTTAAAAAGAAATCTTTTGGAAGTTATATCTGGTCACAGACAATTTTGTAGGGCTCATTTATCATGGAGTTACTTTAGAGCAATGTAAATTCATAAGTTCATTTATTTAGTTCATATATTCCTCTGTGGACAACATTACACATTTCTTTTATAACACAACAATTATGTAATTTTATAAATACTAATTGTTTGTTTATATTTATTCATTCATTTTTTTGATGTAAATACTAATTGTTTGTTTATATTTATTCATTCATTAAGAGGCTGGTTGATTTGATGAAAAGTGGGTGTAAAGTAAAAGGAATGTATGCATTTCAAAAGTTAGCTATTTGGATTGGATGAAAAGAAGAATGCAACTTAAAATTTTGAAGTTTTTGGAATTCACTTTTTAACATATTTTCAATATATTTTGATTTCTTTTGATTTTGATTGAATTCCAAATGCATCACAAGAGTAATGTTTTGCTTGCTGGTGTCAGTCACTCGTCGCCGATGCCCATGATTGTTGGTTGTCAGCCGACATTGAGAGATCACCACCACCAGTTGGTGTCTACCGACCACTACCATCTCAGTCGACTTAGTGGCCAGTTGTTGTTCGCTGCTATTGCAGCCGACAATCATTGGGCATGTTTTACATTTGTTTTATTTTTGTTCAAACCAAATACAAATTTAACCTTTTGCATTTAATTTACATCTAACCAAACAAATGATACATGATATTTTAATTACACCACATCTTTTTTTCAATAAACAAAATGACCCCTAAAATAGTATAATTTTAAAAAAAAATTATCGGTTTTGTTATGAATATTGTAATATGAGTCTTGAATTACATAATTGATTTTCACTCCATGTTATGCTTGTTGTGTTTTTTATCTTTAAAAGTATTTTGTTGTGTAATTGTTGCTGTAGTATATCCCTTACAATTTATTATTGTGATTGCTCTCACATTCTTGTTCTAATCTTATAGTTTGTTGTGTTATAATTCATTTTAGAATCTTACTTGAACTTTGTTTGTTCTAGAAAAAAGTGTTAAAATGGTCCCCTAACTTTTTATTTAGGCTTATTCTAGTTCTATATTTTATAAAAGTGTCAATCTTGTCCTCGAATTCTTCTAAAGAGGTTAAAGTAGTTCTCTCAAGGGACATTTTCAGCTCATATTAAATGAGCATGAGAATTAATTTGGCACTTTTATCAACTCTAGGACTAAAATGGTCAGCGGACTATTTTGGCACTACACACTTTTATCAACACTGCCGTTGCCGGTCCCAAGCCCGGATGATTGCTAGAATATAGTTAGAGTTGAATTGTAACAAGGTTAGAAAATGGTATGTAAATGGACCAAGCCTTATTGGAATCTTGCTCGAACCTTATTCTCAAACCAATTTCGTTGATAACAAATTTCAGATAAGCACTTTGAAGTTAAAAGTGGGGGTATTTTGACAAAAAAGGTATTTTTTGGCTTAGTTTTCCAAGAAATTAGGCGTGTAGTTTTTCCAAATTTTCATTCTTATGGGGCTTATAAAATGGAATTTCTTTCTTATATGTATAGATGCATCTATGTGTGTTTCTGTGTTATTTCATGCTAGATATATTTTAAATATATTTTTAAGAAAATTATATTTAATGCATAATTTATCATTGAATATTAGTCTGAATAGGATCTTCTATGGACTTTTAATTAGCCTTTTTTTTTCTTAAGCATAGAAATTTATCTTTTAATATTTTCTTATGCATAGAAATTTATTTTTTAATGTGTGTGTGTAAGTTACGCACGTTTGAGCTCTTTTGGTGTGCTTGATGGTGTAAATCTATCTTATAATTGAGTGTGCTTGATGGTGTAAATCTAAATTTAAGTTTTACTGCCAGCGGGGTTTTGAAAAAAATTTCCCGGTTTGTCTATTATTTTATGCCAAGTGTTGGCCTGGTTGCTTGCTCCAATTCACTGTGAACGTTGGACTTTTTTATTGGTTTGAATAAGGTAGTTGTGAATCACATCCGATTGTGTTGCTGAGTATGCAGAGCTGGCCTAGAAACCATAAAGTAATGTGAAATTCCTTGTATGCAGAGAAATGAATTACTTTTGTAGCTAATTCTTTTTGGAGATAATATGAAATCTAACTTAATTTTCTTGTGTTTATGTTATCTATTTCTTTTTAAACATGCTCATGGCATTAGGAACAATTCATTCCCTCTTTTTCTGGCTTTATCAATTTAACTAAGAACTTATTTTAAAGAAATTGTAATTTTTTATTCCTTCTTGTCAGACATTGATTCTTTGTTTCCCCTTAAGCTTTTGAAATTCTGCAATTTTTATTGCTTCCATGTTACGGCATATGCTATGACTTTCATTAGTCAGTTTTTCCCGTTAATCTCTACTCTTTTTTTGTTTTATACTCATCACTTGTTGGTTTTAATATGTTAAATGTTAGCGTTTTGTAACTCTCAATTTTTTGGTCTGTTAACTGTTTCCTACTCCGTTTCAAAGAATGGTGTTGTTTCTTATAAGAAAAAAATAAATGAAAAAATAGACTATTATGGTGCTGCCATAATTGATTATTACTGTAATATACTTTTTTTTTTGTGAAATGCAAATTATCAGTAATTCATAATAGAAGTTACATGGAATGCTTGCAGTATGTATTTTTATGTAATAGATAATTAACCCTTCATACTAGGGTGCTGCTGTTCAGGGCACGTTAAACTTCTTATGTTTCGGCTTTGATCTAGTTATTTTCTTTCCTTTACAGAATAACTTGGATGAGCTTTTCATGCTGATGCACTTTCTTGATGATGGGAAGGTCAGTAATTCTTTATTCTATTGGCATATTGGCATGTGCATCGTGATATTCTAGCTCTTAGTTTGTTTTTACAATTTTGATGCCATACAATGAAATGGCGGTACAATTGCACGTTTATGCAGATTTTCTTTAGCTATATGTTTCTGTTTCTACTCTGCATCATGGTACAAGACTTTAAATTTTGTTACTTCGTAACTTCCAATATTTTAAATTTCTTCTTAAAATGTTTCTACTGTCTAATACTTTTCTGATCAGTCTTTTTTATAATTTATTTTTTTAGTTGAGTGTTGAACTATGATAATCATGTGTTTTGTGTTGATATTTATGATGCAAATGACCTTGTAAGGTAGCAATTGAAGTATGTATGCTGTGCCAAACTGTTGGATTATGCTTTTGTTTTGTATCATAACTGGCATAATTGAAGAGCCCTCTTTTTTTTCTTCATAAGACTGCTAAGCATTTGGTCAGATTCCTTTTTATTTTTCGTAGCTTCAATTTCTTTTTACAAACCTTACTGTTTTTCTGATTTTCGCTTCCAGTTTCAAAGTATTGAAGATTTTCAGAAGGAATTCAAAGATATTAATCAAGAGGAGCAAATTGCTAGGCTTCATAAGCTACTTGCGCCACACCTCCTTCGACGTAGCTTCTTTATCTTGTTATGCTATTTTCTTTGTTTCATTTCATTTGTTGATGTCCCTTGAAATTATAATTTATACTTGATAGCTTGATTGCCATGTTTTTAAATTAGCATATATATATATATATGAAAATGAAACCGTCCACAGTTTACAGTTTCGTTTTCTGATTGATTTTTCGTACTTACCTACGTTTTAATCACCCTAGCACCGCATACCAATATATCCTTTATGGAGATGGAACTAAGATCTAAACGTCTTAAGACTGCTATTCATGGGCCAAGTAAATCAACTACGGATCTTTCAAAAGCAAGCATTGTTTCATCCCAAAGGTCAACTGACGCTGCCTCTCATGCACATACAAGTCAAGTCCCTGTGACTGAACTTGTCCCTCTTAATGTGGATTTGTTGTCGTTAACGATCAATCCCGACTATCATCAGAGACTAATCAACTCTGGAGAACTTGGTTTTGAATGTCCTGCTTCACGAAGAGTACCAACAGCTCTTTTTTATGAAATCGAACTTAACTCTTTTAAATTAGCTATGTCAGAGACCCTTACGTGGTACCTTTCTTACAAGCTTTATGAGCAAGGCAAACTTACTTCTGTTGAAATCGATGCTGAAGTCAATACGATGACACCACTTATTGTTGACGCTTGCATTACTGCTTTATATAGCAAAATGCGAGTTATACATCGACAATATGGTCGATACATGCAACGATTTGCCAATCCTCCAACTTATGCTAGAGATATTGAGCTTCCTTTACCGTTTGCAGATGCTATTCAGAACTTCGGAGTTTTTGAACCCCAAAATGTTTTGACTAACTATGTTTACGTGCCTGTTTATCCTGAAGGTATTGAGAATGAAGGTAGATCTACTCAATAATGAAATTCCTATAAGTATGAAGCTTATATTCCTGTCCTTAAATCTCTTGGTATCCCAGTTAAATCTGTTGATACATGCTCAAAAGCTGGATCATCTTGGTGGTTGTTTCAAGTTAAGATGGTTTCAAACCATTTTGACCTGGCATGCAGCTTTCCTCCCAGTAACTACTCAGACCACACTGCTCTGACTGCAACTAAGTTTATTTTACTTAACACAGATCGCAATGGTATTAAGCCGATCATTAAGTATTTAGGCGATGATGCAATCTTCGCATTCCGTTGTCGCGAGATTACTACTGGCTTCAATCTACGTGCATTTTCTGCCTTATGTCATGCACCTAAATCCAAATGGAGCTTAACTCTGCTCGAGATATGAGCCCTAATTTTAGTTTTGACTGTTGTTGCAAACTCTGTTATGACTATCTTTTTGTATACGAATCACAAACTTTGAGAAATTGTGTTAATTTCAAGAATTTACAGTTCACCGTTGTGTTGCAGCTTTCAAGCAACATTTACTTTGTTAATGCTGATATTATCTTCAAACTTTGATTTGTATTTCATTTCATTATTATCACGCATCTTTCTTTTCTCTCTCTCTCTCTCTCTCTCTCTCTCTCTCTCTCTATATATATATATATATATATATATATATATATATATTATGGTGCTACTTAAGCTGGGCTTGAATACAATCTTATTGTTTTGCCAGTCTTATGCGTTGCTGTTTATCTTGTTTTTATGCTTCTTTTAAGCCTTCTAGGGAAACACATTAACTGTTTTCCTATTCATGAAGATTGCAAGAGTAACAAAATTTCTGTTAGTATAGTTGTTTTGTTTTGTTTTCAGTGATTTTCTTCTTCTTTTTTCCGTTTGCTTAGTAACATTTAAAATTTAAATAGCAAATAGCTTATGGCTTAATTTTAACTCTTTCCTACTCAGTTGGCTTCAACCGGACAGTGTTCTAGACGAATCAAATAAATGTAAGCTGCTATGGTGTGGTGAAATGATGAGGAAATATTTGACATTATATGGATGAGCATGGATGTCAATTTTTGTTTTTGGAATAAAAAATAAAAATATCGCACCACAATTTGATTATCGCTTTCTTTTTCATTTATATTGAATTACTAGGACATTCCTATTGAAGAGAAGTAGATCCTCTAGTTTGGAATGAGAATGTTATACCTAGTATGCACCCGGTCCCTCGTAAACCGGCCGATTTCAATCCCACTTTCTCACAAACGGGCCGGCCCTTATCACGGGAAAAAGGGGATGGAACCGGACGAGGCGCGAAGGAAAGGAAGGGGTGGGGTCCACTAGGGCCACAATCACATATTCAAGAAGGAGAAAGTGAGGGGAGTTTGGAGGGAAGTTTAGAAGGAAAGTTTTCAAATGCTGTATGAGGATTATATGAAGGGGGAACCTAGTGTTTGTTTTATTTTTTTTTAGGCATTATTTTATGGTTGCTATGTTTTTCTTCTTTCAGTGTTGTTCCTAGCAACTTCAAGGGTGTGGTAGAGCTGATCTACCTCTCGAAAGTAGATCATCTTTTGTATCTTGTTTGTTTTTCCTTTAATTGCGGTAAGAACAAACCTTATTTGTATTTGTCCACCTATCCGTTGTAATTTCGTTGTGGTTTGTTCGCTGATTTGTTGAGGCGTATCAAATTGTTATCAGAGCATAGATCTTGGTGGGATGACAACAAAGAAAGTTGATGTGCTAGAAGGAGAAGTGGAGCAAATTCGATCTTGAATGGAAGAAAGAATTGCTACCATGGAGGGCAGATTTTCTTTCGAATGAATAATGGATTTGAAGGCATAGGGGAAATGAGGGAGTTGATGAAAATGCTCATGGAGATGCAATCCAAAGCCGTGTCGACCGCTCCAGCTGCAAACCCTAATTAATGGTTGATAAAGGAATCCTTGGCCAGGTCAAAGGGGAAGGAGTTCGAGTGAGAAGACAACGAAGAAGAAATCATCTACCAACAAGAGCGTCCTCCTAGGACTCCAAGAGGAGGGGGAATAAAGACTTATGATGGGGGAATGACAAAAAATTGGAGAAGGGGCGGTGGAAGGGGCGTGGAAGAATATGATATAGGAAGGGAGGAATCAGGAGTGTGATATGCCTATGACCGTAGGAGGGAGTTTCACCCTAGACAAATGGCAGGAAATACCGTAGGGAGAGGAAGTTGGGATGGAGATGCAAGGATCAGGAAACTGAAGATGCCAACTTCTAACGTGAAGATGCACATGGATGGGTATATCGGGCGAGTGATACTTTGCGATCAACAAGCTGATTTAGGAAGATAATCTCATGGCGGCATGATTATGCTTGGAGGGGATGGCTTTAGCGTGGTTCCAGTGGGTGAAAACAAGGTATCCGATACACTTATGGGGGGAGTTTAAGGATTGTTTGTTGGAATGTTTCCGAGCCATTTGGGAAGGAAACCTACATAAGAAATTCTATGCTTTGACTTAAGAGGTGACGATTATGAAGTATGGAGAGAAGTTCGAGCTTTTGTCAGGGAGGGTGGGCGGGATTTCTGCAGTAGGTTTGGAAGGGAACTTCTTGAAAGGCCTGAAGCCCAACATACAAGCGACTGTCCTCCCCTTGAGATCGTGTGGATTGAGGGAAATGATCAATTTCACCTAGATGATGAGGATAAGAAACAGATGAGGAAGATCGGCAAAGGCGGCAACGCCAGGGGATTCTTTACGAGCACTGTGACAGTCATGACACCGAAGACCCAGACAGTGTCATTTTAGAAAGAGACGTCGACGGAGAAGATTACTGGACCCCGCCTTGGGGTAATTTCAAGCTCTTCAAAGATGCAGAAGTGCAGGACAAAAGAGAAAGTATTGTGTTACCACTGTGATGAGAAATACGCCCAAGAGCACCGTTGTAAGGAGCGCTCGCTTCAGGCTCTTTTCATTCAAGAGACAGATACAAAGAGCGAGGACCTAGAAGAGGAAGCAATGGAGGAGCATCTGCATTTAGATGTGGTGGAGGTGTCCCTCAATTCAGTGGTGAGCTTTACCCCAAATCACACCATGAAAGTGAGGGGATGAATCTGGGAACAACTGATTGTAGTGTTGGTGGATAGCGGGGCCACTTATAATTTTATCTCAAATCAGGTTGTTGAGAAGCTAGGGTTGAAGATGATGACTACAGGGAGCTTTAGCGTAATGATGGGGATAGGGAAGTTGAAGAAAAGTAGGGAAATTTGGGCTGGTTCTGACACTATATGGTCTACAGGTGGTGGAAGAATTTCTTTCTTTAGATTAGGGCAGCATAGATATGATTTTGGGATGAAGTTGTTGGAACATCAAGAGAGATGAAGTTGGATTGGAAATCCTTGACGATGGAGTTCCAAGTAGAGGGTAGGAAGGTGGTGTTGAGAGAAGATGCTAGTTTATGCAAAACTATAGTGTCAGTCAAAAACATTGTCAAGTTGATTCGGGGAGCAAGACTTGATTATTTGATGGAGTTATAGAGCATTGAGGAGGTTCTAGATTTAGAGTTAGTAGAGTTTCCGAAGGAGGTTTAACAACTCCTATGATAGTTTACTGAAGTTTTACAGTAGCCAAACAGGTTACCAAATCGGAGGGAGCACGATCATGCTATTGCATTGACGGTGTTTCTTCTATCAGCGTCAGACCATACAAATACGCCCAGATTCAGAAGGATGAGATAGAGAAGCTGATTTGGGAGATGCCCGGGGCTGGTATTATCAGACCTAGTGCAAGTCATTTTTTCAGTTCCGTTCTGTTGGTGAAGAAAAAAGATGGAAGTTGGAGATTCTGCATGGGCCACCGGGCTTCGAACAAGGAAACGATTTTAGACAAGTTCCCTATCCCTGTGATTGGTGAGTTGCTAGATGAGCTTTATGGGGTAGTTATTTTCTCAAAAATTGATCGTAAGTCAGGGTATCAATAGATCAGGATAAAACCAACAGATGTACACAAAACAACATTCAGGACACATGAATAACATTATGAGTTCTTAGTGATGCCGTTTGGTCTCACCAACGCCCTAATAACATTTCAATCCCTAATTAATAGAGTTTTTCAACCTTATCTCCAAAACCTTATCCTGATTTTCTTTGATGATATCCTGA